TATGACCATAGAACATTCTAGTTCTATGATATGACCTATCTTGAAAAAAATCTTTTATACATTATAAATTAGCCGGATCTTGACAAAGTCATCTAATTTGACAGAGCCGCTATAAAACTCGTCCAACCATAGCAATATTTAGATCTGATCGCAAATAACGGTTCCTAATTATTTGTTATGGAATAAAACTTGATCATCCTGGTTCAGCATCCGACATAAAGTCTGTTCATATGATTATTTTCCCACTCTGACATTTTGGGAGCGCAAATTGTTAATATAGTAAATAGGTCAACATCGTCAAAGTGGAATATATGAGATGAGATGGGATGGGATGAAATGGGATTTAACGTCCTACTGTTCTGCTCCGACTGGGCTAATGAAGACGGGCATACGCCATACAATGTGCTATGAGGGAAATTTTGACCGGGCAGCGGCACTATTGCCTAGCCTACTCTTATATCGAATTCCAACTGCCAAGGGATTTTTTACATGAACACGCGACCTCCAGAACGAGCCAGCGTCTTACCCATTTAGCCACCGTGGCTCCCCAAGTGGAACATAAACCACCTAGAATAAAAATATGCAAATCAATATAACCCACCTGTTATCTGTAATGTAGAGAGAGAGAGAGAAATGGAGTTTAACGTCCACTCGACACAAACTAGGTCATTTCGGGACTAACATATATGGTTTAATTTTATTTCAATAATTCGCTTGCGCGTAGGGGTCTTTAGCAGTGGGGGGAAACCGGATGACCCGGAGAAAACCCACGAGGTTGGACAGGCGACCCTACTCCTTGTAACGTACTACCGGGGATTGGAAACCACGCCAGTTGACTCAATGACAGACTTTATGATACAGTGTGCACACGCTAACCCACACTGATCAGCAGTGAATTTTTCGCTAGGCCGCTACAATCACTGATAAGGATGACATCGATGCGACTTAATGAGCCAGAAATATTAACTTTTTTCCTGTAAAACAGATTGACGCTAACCATTCAGCCATCCAAACCCCCAATGACTAATACGATCTTTCCCAAACTATTGCCACTGCTAAGTTGAAAATCAAATTCTCTGTACAAAGTTCTCACTGACATTTTGAATCAAAACTTACGAACTACAATAGTTACCTCTTACAGCCAAAAAATCAACATAGATACCTCCACCTTCAGCCTAAGTTACGAGCATGCCTCTTCAAGCCACAAATATACACAGACCCTAGCCTGCCTTAAAAATGCATAAAATCCAAAGAAAGTTCAAAACAGCAGTGGTAAGTCTGAGACTCGGTACGAATAGAAATAGAAAGGGGCGAAACTATAACACTCCAGCAGCAGATAAAAGATTGTGTACTAAATCCTCAAAACAAGAAGTCAGAAAAAAATGTAATTTCCTCGTGAACTGTAACTTCTGTGCTGGATTAAGATTAAAATGTTTTATCACCCAATAATACATTCTACAGTAGGCTAGATATCGCTTGTGTGATAAATTTCATAATCTACTGCGATATCTCTTTAGGAGATATCGCTTTACATGAATTTGATTGGTCAGATGAAAATGAACTACTTTTTTTATTTTCAAAGAACAGTTCATTTTTTTTATTAAAAGTAACTTCTTTTTTTTATTAAAAATGAACTATCTTTATTTAATTGACCTTGATGGAAACACTGGATCAATATAAAGTACTTTGCAATGGTTGAATTGCTGTCAAACCAGCGGCTGCCAGGCAGGATACGCCCACATTTTCGAGAGATGGATAGAGAACAAGCTAAGAAGAAAGTGATTTTTCCTCCTATCAAGGGCCATAATTCAGGAAATTACAATTCGATATACGCTAATATCGAAAGGAACCAAGATCTTTGGGTTATAAACTTACAGTTCAAGTTTCAACAAAATCGGATAAAAATTGTGACCTCTATAGGGTCCACAACCTTGATATACCATATTTGTTCGCTATTTGAGAACGAACGGCGGACATTTTGGGCCGATTTTCACGAAATTCGAACTCAGTCGTCCTTAGGGTGCAACGGTGATATAATAATATGTTTTTTTAAATCGGATAAAAATTATGACCTCTATAGGGTCCACAAGCTAAAAACGCGATTTTTCGTACAATCAGGGGCCATAATTTAGGAAGTTACGGTCCGATATGCGCCAATATCGAAAGGAACTGAGATCTTTAGGTTATAAACTTACATTTCAAGTTTCAACAAAATCGGTTAAAAATTATGACCTATATAGGGTCCACAAGCTAAAAACGCGATTTTTCGTAAAATCAGGGGCCATAATTCAGGAAGTTACGGTCCGATATGCGCGAATATCGAAAGGAACCAAGATCTTTGTGTTATAAACTTACATTTCAAGTTTCAACAAAATCGGATTAAAATTGTGACCTCTATAGGGCCCACAACCTTGATATACCATATTTTTACGCTATTTGAGAACGAACGGCGGCCATTTTGTCTGTCAATTTTGGGCCGATTTTCACGAAATTCGAACTGAGTCGTCCTTAGGGTGTAACGGTGATATAATAATACGGTTTTTTAAATCGGATAAAAATTATGATCTCTATACGGTCCACAAGCTAAAAACTCGATTTTTCGTAAAATCAGGGGCCATAATTCTTGAAGTTACGGTCTGATATGCGTGAATATCGAAAGGGACTGAGATCTTTGGGTTATAAACCTACATTTCAAGTTTCAACAAAATCGGATAAAAATTGTGACCTCTATAGGGTCCACAAGCTAAAAACGTGATTTTTCGTACAAACAGGGGCCATAATCCATGAAGATTCGATCCGATACATGCCAATATCGAAAGCAGCCGAGATCTTTCGATGATAAACCTATATCTCAAGTTTCGTCAAAATCGGATAAGAATTGTGACCTGTAGAGTGTCCACAAACAAATTGTGGACGGACAGGGGCGACGGCATAATACGTCCACATGAAAATGTGGGCGTATAAAAAATGTAATGTAATCAGATTCAGAAAAAGTGCAATCTATATCAAAGAATTATATTTATTTATTTGTGCATGTAAGAAAGGATTGGGTGATAAAAAAAATCTCCTACTCGTCTTTTTTGATACCAAATAATGTCAACACTCGTCGATAAAGTAAAAAAACAAACTCGGCAGTGTTCGATCCCTGCATTGGCCGAGAAAGTCCATCCAGATTTTCCGGCGCGGTTCCCCCTTGTCAGTGATGCAGGACGGCGCGCCTGACAAGGAAAGCTGTCTAGTCGTTCGGATGGGACGAAAAACAGAGGTCCCGTGTACACATTGGCTTGCACCTAAAGTTGGGAATTTGATATAAGAGTAGCCCGTAGTGCCGCTGACCGGGCAAAATGTCCCTCATAGCACACTGTTTGGCGTATGCCCGTCTTCATTAGCCCAGGTCGTAGCAGAGCAGTTTCGTTTTTTTTATCGCCAACGACTGACAAGGAACAGTTTACACCTCGTTCAGATGGAACGAAAATCCCTTGGCAGATGCTACTCGATAAAGAATTGGCAAACACGCATCCTCAATATCTCCAGTTGTATCGTTTCGTTCCGTTCTACTCCAGACGAAACGATACAACTGTGGATACCGAGTATGGTAAACACAGTGTGCAGCTTTGTGCATGCATTGCTTTTACAAAAAAAGGGATGTGGCACCCACTTTAACATACAAAAAAAAAAAGAAAAAAGATTTCTTTTTCATATTTAGTCAAAGCAACTATCATGTATTTAGTAGAGCTTTTTTTGTATTTTTCATCCCTAATATTATGTCATGTATAATTTATATTTATGTAATAAATACCTGTCTAACCATGTCCGTCTTCATTAATCTGTTGGTGCAGAAATATGCGTCTGTCAGTCTTCTGTTCATATTTCATGTTAGAATGCTTTTTGTCCACCTTGACGTCTTGTTTATCACATACCTTTTTAATTCATTTCTATTTTTTTCCCCATAACCTGTTAAGACTATTTAGTATTAAAATGTCGTCGCTTGTCTTCGGTAAATAGACACACCCATGTAATATTCAGAACGGTTTTGGTTAATTTTGTGTATTTTGATAAAAATGAAAAATAGTTATGAAGTTAGAACGTATATAAATATTGTACATTACTGTCATATATTCTTTACAATACTTATATTTTTTTCATCATATTTTATTTCAAATCTTATTTTATTTCAAATCTTCAATATTCTTGCTTTTGGTTGTTGTTCTAAAGATCTAGACGAATTCCTATCACTAGAGGAGGGCCTATCACTATGTGACTATTTTTTATTTCTGGAAATCAAACTACAATTTATTGGATATAACCAGATGATTTATACTTTATGGCCTTAGGATTAACTCTGAAACCGAATACCAAATGAAGTCGAGGTGGTTCAGTGAGTAAGACGAAGACGGTGGCTCACTAATCAGGAGGTCCATGGTTATATCCCCGTAATGACCGAGAGAAATATCAGCATGGTATCCTCATGTCAGTGGTGCAGGACGGAGGGCTTGGAAAGGACAGTGTATAGTCGTTCATACAGAACGGAAAATAGAAATCCCGGGGTTCCGCATTGGCCTGCAAGTAAAGAGCCATTGGAATTTGGACTTCCAATTAAGAAAAGGACATTGCGCCGCTGTCCGGGCAAAACCTTTCCTCATATCACACTGTATGTCGTATGTCCATGTACAGAAGCCCAGTCGGTGCAGAAGAATGTGACGTTATATAAACTCAAAGTCATTTTGACCAGTAGGCTATATTATTATAGGCTGAGGATTAACCAAATGATAACGCTAAACTAATCACATGCATACAACGCTTAAATGTTTGTTTTCTCATGTTTTGATCAGATGTGTGTTCTGATTACCTTTACGTTTATTTTTTACCACAGGGCAGGTAAAAATAAGAACACGTGCATGAATTTATTTTTGTGTCAAAGTTAAAGGGGGATAATCAGTTTGAAGTGTCACGGTTGAATATAGCGACCTTGAACTCTATGACCTAAAACAGTCATTCTTCAGGTATTCAAACGACGGAAAGGGGGGACAATAAAGCTACAGGTAAGTTTATGATTGTGCACCTTTTTTGTAGAAAACTCGGTATAATAATCTATATTACAGAATTATATTATTATAAAAGAAAACTAACAACATTAGAATTATTGAATTTAGTGGAATTTTGAAGTATAAATATTATCGCGCACCTGTGTTGCTGTATATATGTATTTAGCAATGACTCAAAATGGCGTCATATTTATCGTATCATTGCTAAACAGAGCATATATGGATACTGTTTTTATTATTTTTTGCTTTCATATGTAGCTGTAACGGTTTATTTTTAAAGAATTTTCGATTTTTATTTATCATCGATAGATGTACATGTAAATAACAACTTATTGCTTTAGGAACGGTGCCTGATGGGACTATTTCTTTCCATTATGATTTATACTCCCAAGTCCAATAGGAATGCCCAGAAACAATCATAGGAGTTAAAAATTAATCTATCCTAATGAGGCTAATGTCATCTTTATTTAAAATTATCAATGGCTTACATTTTAATTATTATTTATTGCATCCCTATGTATCAATTAAAAGTTTTAAATGTTTAAATTTAACCATTTCTGACCTCAATTATGACATTTTACTAATTTCAGAATAAAGTTCCCACAATGTTATCACGGCTTGCTTTAGCCGTTTTGGCTGTCTTTGTAACTTCAACGGCAGCTGCTCTTATAGACGAATGTATGCTAGACAATACAGCAGGTTGTCCCAAAACCAGACCTCCGTAAGTCATACTTCTTATAATCATAATACATGTATAAGTTTTTTTGGAGTCTTTTGCTAACCATGAGGTCTTGGGTTTGCTTCTGGTCATCTTCAATAGAAGACTTGATCTCGCTTTAACTACGTACATCTTATCAAGGCGTTCGCATAATACCCTACATATTGCGGCACTATTATATAATATCAATTGGGTACAAGCCCAACTTGTGAGCCTATCAGATTCCTCGATCGTCGCAAATACCAAGTCTCGCGCTTCCAAGCTAAAATGTCTACCTGTGATAATCGAGTTGCAAAGTTCAAGGTTCATTCAATGTCAAGGTTTCCGTGGAGGTCGCGATGTCACAACCTCTGATTGGACGCTACTGCTCACATGTCTGTAGATAACATAGCTATAAGTTCGAGAATTGTGAAGTAAACAAGCAATGGCCAGATGTTGTGAAACTCGCAGTTGTTGCTTCAGGAACATGGCTCCTGGTATGAGATTCTCAGGATTTTCTCATTGTCAGTGGTGGAGGATGAAGAACTTGGCAAGGAAAAGCATCTAGTCATTTGAAAGAGACAAAAAATAAAGATCTTGCGTACACATTGGCGTGCACGTAAATATACCCTTAACCATTTGAATTCAAAGTAAGAGTAGGCTGTAGTGCTGCTGCCTATACAAAATTTTCCTCAAAGCACTCTGCATTGCATATGCCCATTTTCATTAGCCGGGATGGAGCAGAAAAGTATGACATTAAACCCCATTTCATTATATATTTAGGAGATAAACACTTCCTGTTTCGCATTGAGAGGAGTTTTATTGTGCAATAGACATGACCTGAGATCATTAGGAATGACCGTATATAAAATCTCGGGACATGTCTATTGCTCAATAACACCCCTCTAAATGTGAAATAGAAAGTATTTATTGACATTGTAACATGCTATTTTAGCATTTTAAAATAAATTACTAAAACAGAGGGGTATTATTGTCCAATCGACAGTGTCTAATTGACCAATCAAAACGCAAGATTCACCCTTAAGCATGTTACAATGTATTTTAACTGGTGTGATGTATGTCTGTATAAATGGTTTTCTTGGAAAAAAATGGCTCTTAACAATTTGATATGAGATTTTTTTTTCATGGGAGTTTCTGTATATATTTTTATATACACTGCCAGTATTGGAGCACATAACCCAGTGCAGAAACACTACACATTAATACAGTATGTATGATCTTCACATATTTATAACATTTTAAATATTTTTCAGTATTTATATGGTGATTGTTCCAAAGAAGATCCGCCCCAATCAAGTTATTCAAATTTTTGCAAGCATTTTAAAATTGGAGTACAGTCATGTCAATGTGAAAGTTTCTATTGTGAAAGAGAATGTGGCATATGCTGGAACTTCGATGAAATTTGACCGCGCTTCCAGTAGAATTATGCAACTGCAGGTAAAAGTGATATTACAATTTTTTCTTATTAATTCTTACTTACATGTAAGCAGTGACACAGGAACCACATTTTGAGTGGGTTGGAGGACTTTAAATTCTAAGGAGAGGGTGGGGGTGCCCCCCTGACCTGAATAGTGGGGAAGCAGGTTGTCAAATATCGTTGGTAGTGATTACCTGTTTGCAAACATTTAATTGTGATGTGGTGAATCTAAAGGGGATCAATGATGAATGAGATGATACGTAAAGAAATAGCTTGAAAAATATGGGTTGGCAAAATATAATGCATGTAAAACAATAAGGTTGAGTTTTACTGCTAAACTAGAATACTTAGTATATCTAACCTGTATGTGTTCCAAAACGTTGTTATTGAATAACAGAAGTAGTTGTATCTATCCTTGTGTTGTGTTTTTGTTGTGGATATTACACCATACTTCTAGATGTTATCTAAGGAATTGATATATCTAACCCAACGAAAATATTCTCACATTTTCTGTTATGTAAATGCTCACACACTTTTTGGTGCATTTAATTTTTTGTCTTGTACAGTCTTACCTTCTCAGATTATGGAACTTCCCTTTCAAATTATGACTTCAACAATTAAATCCTTGTTGCAAGTACTGGTTATGAATAACAATGAATAAACATTAATCTTGTAAGTTTTCTACGGCTGTTGAGGAGCATAAACAAAATAATGAAAAACATTTACAAATTGTTGGCTCAAATTTTCCCTGTTTTTTCTTTAAATGGGATCCTAATTATCTACATTGATATAAACTGAGCAATCAAATTATTTTTCAGATGCCTCAAAATGCCCCAGCTGGTTCCTATAAACTACGAGTAGAAGGAACTTTAAATGGTGGAATTAGTGGATATATATTCTATAATGAGACAGATATTCTGTTTGATACTAAGCAAGCTTCATTGTTTATTCAAATGAGCAAACCTCTTTATAAACAGGGACAGTTAGGTAGGTATCTGTAATATAAAGAAAATGGGGTTTAAAATCCTACTTTTATGATCCATCTTGGCTAATGGAGACTGGCATACGGCATTTAGTGCTCTATGAGGGAAAATTTTCCTGGACAGTAGCGCTACGGCCTTCTCTTAAATTCCAAGATTTCTTATATTTGCACACCAAGTGTACACTGGACGTTAGTTTTTTGCCCAACTTGAACGACTAAATTGGGGTGAAACCATGCTGGAAAATCATGAATTACTATTTCAGCCAATACTATGATCACATCTAGGGCCTACAGTGTAGCGATTCAGTTATCTACTTGTTGAGCCACTATAATATATTTTCTAAATTTAATTTGTGGGTGTTGGTGGGAGCAACTTAATTTGAATTTTTATGAAATTATCCCAAAGTAATTTTGATTGAAAAGTGTTAAACATTTTTGGGGGGTCATGGAACTTGTTTTTGCATTTGTTAATTTATGGATATGCATTAAAGATTGGATGGTTATAGGCTATTATTAATTTGTGCATTGACAACACAATAAAAACTTTCTTCTTTAGTTCAATTCCGTGTGATTCCAATTCTACCAAACATGATGCCTAAATATGGAAGTATGACAGTTTACATTGATGTAAGTATATCATTTTTTGGCCACATTCTATTAATTTCAGCAAGGGCCCTTTCCTAACTTATGCTCCTTTATTAGAAATCTTGTTTATATCCCTCTATAGACCATGATTATCCAGTATCCACAGACATTGAAATTTTCTAAGAGTTAATGCAAGGAAGAATTCTTTATTTTTAATGATTTTTGATATCATATTATGTTTCTTTGATATGAAATCTAATATTTTATTTTCTAGGCTCCTACAGGAATACCAGTCAGACGATGGTTAGGTTTACAAACAAATGCTGGAGGTATTGTACATTTTTAATCATTTCCCCTGTCTTTTTATTTATGAATTGATGAATTTTTTTAACATTTACAAAAAATTTGGCAATACTATTATAACATGTTTTATTCAATCCAGGTTTCATTTGATTGAAACCCCTAATTTATATTCATCCTCGTTTTATTGTCAGTGTGGTTAAAAGTTTAAATCTCTGATACTTTGGTGGAGTTTGGCCTACCATTTGGAAATCAATATTATATGACATTGAACTTGGAGATGAAAATTACCAACACATGAATTTATAAAATTATCACATGTTAATGAAGGAATCCAGTTTAGACATGACTTAAAATTGACTTATGTTCGACATACACGACATGGGTTCTCATGTGTGTGATATATCTTGTATGCAGTGTTATCTTCTGGCTTTCTGTTTCTTTACTATATATTGATAAAAGAGTGAGTGTATGTTAATTACCTGCCTGGTAAACTGTCTTTGTCTTTTTCAGGTATTGTTAGTCAATCGTTCCGGCTTTCAGATCAGCCAAGCTTTGGCAACTGGTCGATTAGAGTTGTTGCCTTTGTAAGTCTTTCTTTAATATTAATTACATGTATTTTTGAAAATTTAAAATGGTTTATTCTTAAATTGGATAAACTAATATAAACTTTAAAATAAATGAAATCAACAGTAAAAAAACTTTTTCAACCTTCCAATGTTTTCTCTCCTATAATAAGTTTTCATTTTCTTCAGGGTCATACATACAGAAAACCCTTTACAGTTGAAGAATTTTGTAAGTATTTTTTTTATTCTTACGGCTTTAATTTCCTTTTCAAAAATAAAGCAATGTTTATAAATTGTAAAAGAAATAATATACGGTAATATTAAAAAAATAAAAGTAATACATATCCTTGAAGTTTCTCTTTGTGACTTTCTTCTTAATCCCTGAAGCAGTCATACCCTTCTTTCAGGATTTTCATGCTAACTTTACCATTTCTGTCCGAACTGTTATTTTTAACAAACTTCTTGTTGTTTTTTTTTTAGGGGAACCAAGATTTGATGTTAATGTATCTGTACCGCCATATTTAACTGATACAGCAGAGAAAATCAGTGGTGTAATGTTGGCTAAGTAAGATTTTATTTAGGTTATTGTAGTCAGTAAACATGCTTATTACACTGGTAATATATATTGTCTTTCAAATCCTTTCTGTATGCAGTGAAATAAATGCTTATTACTGGTAATATATTGTCTTTCAAATCCTTTCGCAGGGATGTCGATAGCGTGTAGGTTTCCTTGCAATTTTAGTACATGATTAAATGGTAGCTTTTCTTTAAGTTTATTTCTAAATTTTTCTATTATATTTTGTAAATGTTAATGAGTAATATTTATCATGGGTGCTGATAGTATGTAGGTTTCCTGGTAATTTTTGTACAGGGTTAAATATTACCATTTCTATTATTTTATTTCTAAATTCTGTATTATTCTTTGTGTGAACTACTTCATCTGATATATTTTATTTTTCAGTCAAACATCTGGTAAACCTGTAACTGGTAACGCATCTATAACAATGTATTTTAAACCACCCAATTCTCCAGCTTATGGCGATTATCCGTATATTTACCGCTTTTACAATTACGTAAGTAAATATTGATCTTTTTAAATCAAATATCCTGTAAAAATCCATCAACCATATATTGGCTAATCTCTTAACGGATGATATTTGTCTGTTTAGTAAATGACAACAAAATTTACATTATTATTGTTCATTTTTATATGCCCACAATTTCATGTGGACCTATGTCATCCCGCCTGCCCATCTGTTCACTTTTGTTTATGGACACCCACAGGCCACAATTTTTATTTGATTTTGATGAAACTTACCATGTATGTTTATATCCCACAGATCTTAGTTCCTGTTGATATTGGCGCATATTAGAATGTTGCTTCCTGGGTTATGGGGGGGTTGGATGGCTGAATGGTTAGCGTGCGCGCGCTGTATCATAAAGTCTGTCATTGAGTCGACTGGCCTGGTTTCGAATCCCCGGTTGTACTTGGCAAGGAGTTGGGTCGCCTGTCCAACCTCATGGGTTTTCTCCGGGACCTCCGGTTTCCTCCCACTGCTAAAGACCCCTACGTGCAAGCGAATTATGTAAATAGAATTAAATCATATGTTAGTCCCGAAATGACCTAGTTTGTGTTGAGTGGACGTTAAATCCCATTTCTCTCTCTCTCTCCTGGGTTAAGGTCCCTGATTGTACGAAAAGATCTTTGTTCCTTTTCACATTGGTGCATATTAGATTGTAACTCCATGGATGATGGCCCCTGAATTTAGCTTGTGGACACTATAGATATCACAATTTTTATCCGATTTTGACGAAACTTAAAATATATGTTTATATCCCAAAGATCTTGGTTTTTTTCAACATAGTCGCATGTCAGAACCTAACATTTGGGATTATGGCCCCTAATTGTACGAAAAAAGGCTTTTATAGCATGCTCTCTGTACATCTCTTGCAAAATGTGGGCATATTTGCATGGCAACTGCTCGTTAAGTTATTCTTATAATTTTCAATTTAATAGGGATTTTGAGCTATGAAATCCTCTGTTTAACCAAAACTTTAAAGATCTTATACCATGCTATTTCTTTTTCTTCAGCATACAGGAAGAATTGATTTTGAATTCACAATGCAGGAAATCCGTGAATTAGCAAATCGTAGATTTGTTGGGCAAAATCTTATTGATAGTGAATTAATATTTCATGTCAATGTATCTGATTGGGATTCTGGAGAAAATCGGACAGGAATGGCTAGTTCAATCATCTTTAATTCTCGCATCAAATTACAGTGGATTGGTGATCGTGTTCGGACTTTTAAACCAAATTCAGTTATGAAAGTTGCTGTAAGTATTATATTTAAAACTGCTTATCTCTGTATTGAAATAATTAGGTACTCAGACCAAAAATCATACCTTACTCACCAAAGAATTCAACCCTGAGTGCAACCTTAAAGTACATTGTCCATATGTTATAAATCTTTTCTTTCTTACATTCTTAAGGGCCTATTTGCTATTGTTTCCATTATAATTTCCTGGGTTATTCCACAGCCACTGGTTGGTGTATGTTTTGTTGAGTGGCAACCTTTGTTTATCTGTAGACGTAAATCCCACTTCCATACCTTTTCTATATCTGTTGTTTGGTACTTGAAGCATTAATAGATTTAAATTTGTATTATTAGGTGGCTGTTATGAATTACGATGGAACACCAGTAAATACCAATAATCGTATTGTACGATTATATCCAACCATATCTAGTTCTGGTTCAGCAGCTAGTGCAAGATACGATAATCCTATACAAGTCCAACCTGTAAATGGGATTGCTGAATTCCGTATATTTGCTTCAGCTGAGGCTGAGAGTATGTTGTTACAGGTATGTTTAAAATTTTAATTTTCTGATTGATCGTAGCATGCTATAAGGAGGGCATGGCAAGGAATATTGTCTAGTCATGCAGTTGAGATAATAGACTTTGTGTACTGGTTAGTGTGTAGTTAATGGAAACATAGCTGTCTAGGAAATAATTACCCCCCATGTCCATTTTCATTAGCTGGCTAGATTTGATGCAGAAAAGTAGGACAAACTAAATTTAATTTGATCACAGCATAGAGTTGTATTTAGATTTAGTTTAGTACAAAGTTAACTTAATTGTAGGCTTTGATCTCAAAGTGATCTCTCTCTCTCTCTCTCTCGCTCTGGCTGTCAGGGTGAATTTTATCATTTGCATGTATTGTGTCTTACTTTCAGGCTGACTATGATGATGATCCAACCGCTACGAAAATAGAATTACGAGCAACAAGATATAATTCGCCAAGTAACAGCTATATCGTTGTTGAAACTTCTACTACTCATCCAAAGGTACCACCTCCTTTCTATAATTTGTAAATTTTGGAATGGGTGTATTCAAAGTCGCAAATAAAGAGAGTCTATTCAAACTGCGGCCATGGTTTCCAATTTGTTGTTCAATCTGTTGTAAGCCAAATATTTCCCTGGTGTTTTGCACACAAGAAGATTTTTGGCCTAAAATATACCATAACTGCCAGGAAATATTTCCCTGTAATGGTTGAAATGAATTAGCAAGATGTATTGTTTTGTTTAGAAACTAAACATTGTCTTTCTTTAATTCATATACTGATACATTGTATGCTATCAATAACTTTCTGACTATTGGATAATTACAATTTATTGACTGTTTTCAGGTGAATGAATACATGATATTCCATGTAAAAACCAGTAGTTTTGTACCAAGAATATTTTACCAGGTAATATATTTTTTTTTCAAGAAAGATTATAAAAAAACTTTCCTACAGCTATTTGATCTTATTATAAATAAATAGTACAGACCTCTTTTAATTCAATACAAAGGTGTGTTGAGTCAGAAAATTGAAAAAAGTTTTGCATACCATTTCATAGCACATGTAAACGGTCTCGGTTGAGTTAGAATTCAAAAATATGTAATTAAAAAAGATGCTGTCCAAGCAAAATTACACTATTTTAGATTTGTATTTGTACATCTTTTCTAGGTTATATCTGGTGGTAATATTGTCATTGGTGATGAGTTAGAAATGACATCAAGACAGAAAACATTTGCAATAGCATTGTCCCGTGAGATGATTCCTACAGCTAGAATTGTTGTTTTCTACATTCGACAACCTGAAGAAGTTGTTGTTGATGTTTTAAATTTCTTTGTCAATGGAACTCGGCAAAATCAGGTAGTTATCTCATTTGGTAGATTAAACCACGACATGAGATTTTTATTTTATCTCGCCTATTTTTATTGAATAACGTCTGCAATGCAGATACATTACACTTGGTCAAGATCCCTACCTGAATAGTGTGCAAGCAGGCGTTGTTTTATAATGAAGCTCGCCACATTAATACAGAAAATGTGGACCAAGGCCAAAGTAGCTTAGGGGACGTTTACGTTGCATTTTGAGAGTTATATTGCATTTTTCCTTGCGCTTGATATCAAAATAGTTATAGAGTTCAGGGTTCTGTGGGCTAAGAAGGGGAAAGCAGAACTTTGAACCTTTGTTCATGGTTCTGAGTTCTGACTGTTAATTTCGTCAATGGACACCCCTTAGAACCACCCATGCACTAATAGAAAAATCAATTTCTGTTTTAAATTAAATATATGTAAAATATTCTTCTCTAGGTGAAATTAAATTTAAATCGAGGAAAAGATTTCAGTCGGGATACTTTGGAATTCAATGCCTATGCTGATCCCGGATCCTATGTTGCCTTTGCTGCCATGCCTCATGATTTGTTTATTCGAGGTTTGAATGATGGAATTAGTGAGAATAATGTAAGTATAGAAATGTTTATTAAAAAAAATTATTATTTAACAACATAAGATAATGTTAATTGTTTGTAAAAGGAAACAATTTTTTTAACAAACCTGAAAAAAAGTCAACATTTTTTATCAATGTTCACTGGATACTCAAAGAAGGGTAAGTGGAAATGATGCTCTTGAATATATTATTATTTCAAATATATAAAAGATTTTATGAATATGTTTTTAGCTCATTGATGAATTGGGAACTTATGATCAACCAGCTAATGGTAGCTACAGACATCTATGGCGAATCACTGATACAGAATATGAATATAAATTCTTCCATGCTAATGGTTACGGTATTGATGCCAATACAACTTTTGATGTAAGTAACCTATATTCTAAGAGAGAGGTTGGGTGGTTTAGTTTTTGCTGACTTGACTTAATGTTTTGTGTTACTTCATTAATTTTGCTAATAATCAGACACTGTAAAATCCAAAAACTAACATGTCATGATATTACTGCTTCCTGAAAGACATCGGTAAAATAATAAATGCATATTTAAGTTAATGGTGGAACTACTTATTTTGTTATGCTACTGAACTGAAAAAAATGTATTGGTATTAACACAAATATGTTTGATATATTCATTTTTGATTAAGTTAAATTAATTTATCGACAAATGAATGATTACCTTGATCTAATGAAACAACCCTTTTATAAATAGGTAAAGATATGTATTAGAAATTATGACACATTATAGATGGTTAAATTACATGTTTCATTTTTTTCTAGACGGCTGGTTTAATGGTTTTAACAGATGCCAGATTAGACAGAGTACTAAGTAAGTACAGCTATGTTGAATTTCAGATTTAAACTGCCTTGATTTATAAAGCTGAAAAAGTTCCTCAGGATTCTCTGGCATGGTTTGCCCTTATGAGTCGTCATGTTGTTAGGATGGGATAAATAAAAAAAATAACCCAAGGTGTGTACTTGAAAGATCCCTTGACATTCTAAATCGAAATAGGAGTAGGCATAGCACGTCTGGAAAAATTTCCCTTATAGGAAAACTGCATTTCATATGGCAATCTATATTAGTCCAATCGATGCAAAGATTGAATCCCATTTCAGTACTGTATTATATTAAATTCCCATCCAAAAATCAAGCATACATAGCTTAGAGGAATTTTGATAATGTTGATTCGGAAGTGAATTCAATACTATGTCTGACAATAATTTGTTGAATTATTTGTACTTGAAGGAGTTTATTGGTAGAGGTATGTTTGTAATTGTCTGACATATCACAGTATGGTTTCATTGTTTGTTGGGGTTTTTTTTTTAAAGAAAAGTTTGATAGTAATTACAAATTTTGTTTGTAATAAGATTTATGTTTTGTTTTATTTTAGATTCAGATAGATGTGATCGTAATATAGACCAGTATCCATGTTTTACTGGTGAAGCTCAGTGTTTTAGTTTAAAACAGAAATGCGATGGTAACTTTGATTGTACAGATGGAGCTGATGAATGGGGATGTAAGTTTCTCGTTGTGATTCTTCAGTCTATCATTTTTTGCCCTGTATATGGTAAGGGCGGAATGTTTGTCTATTAATGTACCGTGCTGATGTTATTGTTTCCTGGTTTAGTTTAGTTCCTGTTAATTTATGTGCCTGTTGTATTTATATACTGTTTTATATTTATGGTTCTGATGTAAATAAATCATATATTTACGAAACTGATCTGTTCTCATTATAATAGTGATACAACCTCTGGTTATTGATATTATTCATACTTATCTGAAACCTCAAACGCCAGGTCATCTATAGAAATAAAATTGTACCATATGTTAGTCCCGAAATGACCTAGATTGTATTGAATGATCATTAAATCATCTCTCTGACATTTGTGTATTATATATCATTTAGGTGTATTTGAAGACGATAGATTAATTCATCGAACTGCTATGGACAGAGTTAGTCGTGTGATGCGTTTCTATGATGATAGCTCCTGGGCCTGGCAAGAGATATTTGTCAAGTAAGTTATTTTTCTCAATCTATGGATTTTTGCACCACTCAAAGTTGTTTGATTATAGAATTATTAAGTATCAAAGTAATAAAGGAAACCAAAATGGATTACAGTTTATATATCTGACTTATGTATTTTTAGGCCAGACGGTAGAGTGGACTTCCGAGTAGATGTTCCCAAATATCCATTATCCTGGGTCATCAATGGAATATCTGTTAGTAGAGAAATTGGTCTTGGTATCATGCAGCGTCCTATTAAAGTAAGTACATGTAGTTATTTAATTAAACATTAATGAATTCTTTATGTATTACGCCTTATTTATGTATTTGTTTTATTCTATTAATGGGTGGGGTAGTTGTTTCGTATGATCACTGTAAATAAATCATAAAATCTGCACTAATGAGTTACAGAATAAAAATGTAACTGGAAGTTTACAAATATTTGTTAGCTGTGCAAACAAAGCATACCATCTACCTGAATTGGTCTTGTTAATGTTACTTGTTTTATTATAATATGACATAGCTCTTTATGGCATATAGGCTAGCTAGTTACCGTACATGTCTTGTTTTATTATAGTATGATGCAGCTCGTTATATGTATATACAAGTTGAAACACCTGATGTTGTTGTTAGAGGTGAGCAGATTGGTGTACGAGTTACTGTGTTTAATCACTGGTATACCGATGACTACATCGAGGTATGAGTTTTAGCATATATCTGATACTTTATAGTCCATTATTATAACTTTTATAAATTAAAACTGTTATTAAAGTTATATAAAAATGATTGTATAATTCATATTTCTGCTTACAAAAGTATTAATTCATAACTGATAATTGTTTCCCTCTCATGTTTACAAACTTCTGAAAACTGATTAGCATCTTGTTGTAATCTTTTGACAGTTCCTGTGCAATATTTCTTATTCATGGTGTAGATAGGGTGTTTCTATTTATAAATCTATTCGACTATTGTGAGAGGTTATAGCCTATCTGGATCCTCAGGTGTTGGCCCACCTTAAACTTGTGAGGGAAAGAAAATGAAAAAATACCATTCTCTATACTAGAATTTAAATCTGCTAACCAGGTTAGGGAGGTCCGGGAATTTCCAGAGACTAAAATAGCGGCGTAAATCAGTAGGCCTATATTGGGGAATAATAACCCTAACTCTTTTAAGATGGGTTAGAGGTAAATTGGATCCAAGTTCAGTCTTCTAAAAAGGGTTAGCCTTAGTACTGGTATTCCCCAAAATACTTAAAGCCGCCATTGTGGACTCTATAAATTCCAAAACCTCTACGACCAGCCTACAATTAGCAATCCCATTAAAAACTCTATCTTTAGTACTCAAAAAGGCAGAAGAACTACAATATAAGGGAGACAACTTATATCAACTTAAGCATAAGGATTTAGACCACATCAATCCTCAATATGACACTATCTATACGTATACACACTCACCAAACTTGATTTACCTTGAAATTTATGAATAAAATAGTTGACATCAGGCATAATGACATTAATTACATTATTAAGGAATATTTTTATTTCAGGTTTTGATTACAATTCATGATGATCCACAGTATGATTTTGTACTAGTTGAAGATATGGGTATTGTTAGTTCATATGCTCCACGCACACACAATGGTGATCATCAAACTTTATTATTTGTAAGTTTATTATCCTGTTATCATTCATTTTTATAATCTTCAATCTGATCACAATTGTCATAATTTCCATTCAACCAAGAGGCTACAATAATTCATTCAATTTTCTCAGAACCCAATTCCATCGTCATGCAGGTTTGTTATTAAGTCTTCGTCCGTCCATCTGGCAGTCACATTTCTTGATAGAGTCTACAAGCATCAGTAAATCTTTTTTTAAAATTTGTGTACCCGGTAGTTTGTATCTCATTCGAAGAAAGAATCCTATTGATTTTCAGTAATCACATCAAGAGTTATGCTCCTTTGTTATGAAACCTTGTTAGAACTTTGATGGCAGCAATTATTTCTAAAATTTCTGTTGGTGATCTTTCTTACTGAAATAAGGAATGCTACTGATTTTCAGAGTAATCTCCTTTGTGTTGAAATCTTAGAAGCTGGCTTGCTAGCTTGGATGTTTTGGGTTTGCTCCAGGCGGTGGCCGAGAGGGTTCCTCTTGATTTTCCCCCCCCCCCCATGTTAGTGTTGTGCTGGGCCCTTATTCACGAAAAGTTAAACTAAGATACAATCAAAATTTTTAAGAAATACTGCAATTCGATTAGCTGACCAGTAAAATCAATTTGCATATATCCAATTTGCATATTGGTCAGCCAATCGAATTGCAGTATTTCTTAAAATTTCAATTGTATCTTAGTTTAAGTTTTCGTGAATAAGGGCCCAGGGCAGTCCTGTGTATACTTTGGCTTGCTTGTAAAAAAAAATCCCTTGGCAGATGGAATTTAAGAGTAGGTCGTAGTAACGCTGTCTGAGCACAATTTTTCTCTTAGTACACTGTATGGTGTAAACCTGTTTTCTTTAGCCTAGTTGGAGCAGAACAGTTAAACCCCATTCATTTCATTTCATTTAATGTCATTTAACTCAGATCTGCTTTGATGACTTTGCTGCTGGTAGGCATATATTTTTTATTGTTGGATAAAGTAGGCATGTGGATGAGGCTTTAATTATGATCTGATCTGTTTAAAATTTATGTGAGCCGTTTAGCTCAAATCTGCTTGCGTGATATGTAGACATATTGCAGTTATATATTTGTTTATATTTTTAGTTGGAACCTGGTCAAGCTAGAGATATTTACATGCCAATTGTTCCTAAAATTATTAAAGGACAATTTGAATTGAAAGTATCTGCTTCCTGTTTTATGGAAAGAGATGAAGTCAGAAAAACAATTCATGTTAAGGTAAAATTTTATTGATTTATTAGTTTTACACTACAACATATTGGGTGAACATTCAGCAAAGTACTGTCTTCATTATCCCTACAAGACAGATTACTCCCTTAAAGTAGAGCTGAAATTACACAAGTAGAGCTGAAATTACACAACTCCTGAGCTGAGAAATCATGTGATTGTTTGAAGACATGGTTGCCCACTATGATTAATCATGTGACGTGAAAGGTGATGTAAATGACTCGTGAATCAAGCGAAGGATTTGCGTGGTGTGACCAGTAATTTGGCCAAATGATTCGGCTAGTGTGTCTACCAAGAAAATATTTTTCAGAGGTGGGTCAGTTATTTTGGAAAACAGATTTGCTTAAAAATTCTAATAGTGGTGCGTCAACGACATATACGACCACAAAATGCAAAACAGAAATTCAAGAAGCCCTGTCTGTGTTTTGATTTTAAATTGATTAAACATGTTAATAAACAATTGTTATAGATAAGATTATATGCAACTTTGAGTAATATACCACTAAAAATCTTCTTCATCAGAATCAAAATATAAACAAAATTTCTGCATCAGAACCTGCCTTGTCTAGCAGACTTGCCAGGAAAGAGCTATTTCAATGTAATTTGTTTGATGAATTTGACAACTGAATTTAGCAAGTTAACCAAAGGTCATGTTCGAAAATAAAAAAATGCGGAAAGCTCAAATACTTTCTTTCACAATTGATAAGAGTTGCTCCACGGAAATCCACACCTGCTTTGATGATAATTTTATGCCATGAATTACCTTAGTCACATTTTTCATTAAATATAATTATTATTTCTAGCCTGATGGTGTGGAGAATTATTTCCACACACCATATTTGATTGATTTGATTCGATATGGTTCCCTGATTATTCCTGATTTTGATGTGCCAGTTCCAGAACAGTTTGTGGTACCAGAACAGAGAGAACATCTTTATGTGCCTGGTTCGGCTGTGGCTCACCTTAGTCTTTTTGGTAAATAAATTATCACATTGGTCACCCAATATAAGGGTTCGATCACAGTGTTCTCCATGAAACTTTAAGATTTTTCTGCTTGGTTTCCCTGTATCATTGATGCAGGATGCAGGGCCCTACAAGGATAATGCCTAGTCATTCAGATAGGTTGGAAAACTGTGGTCCCGTGTACACTTTTGCGTGCACGTAAAGGAACCGTTGACAGTTGGAATTCAACTTTTGGCCAGGCAAAATTTCCCTCATAGCAGACTGTATGGCGTGTGCCCTGTAGGTGCAGAAATGTTTGACTTTAATCCATATTTCATTCATTCCCAATATATCAAAACCATGTTTCATATTCATTCGGTTTTGTTCTTTTACAAAAGGTGCAGTTAATCTAGTTGGGGTCTTGGTATCTACGCAAGCCATGTGTTTAATCTTATGTAACACAGTTTAGCAGTAATTTAAAAAAAAGACACTGTTTTACCTAGATTCTGGGCAGATGTATTTCAGTTTAGTGCATCTGTGTTTCCAAATGTTGATGTACATCATCATCAGCAATATCGATCAGCATCATTGAATTATCTTGAGTTTTATAAAGCATCCTACATATAAACTAATCATTATATTAAAGGTGATGTTGTTACCCCTGGATTCTTTGAAGATTATTTAAATGCTGAAAATATTTTACATCGACCATATGGAGGAGGAGAAATGATCACATTCAATTTTGCCTATAATTTGATAACTTTACGATTCATGAAAGCATCACAGCAGTTGTCTGATGAGGTCTTGAAGGTTGGACTCAGAAACATGAATATTGGTATGTAATATGATAATCCGTAAGCTGAACAAAATTTTATTAGATCTGCCTTAATTGATAAATATTTACTGTGTGGAATGACCTTGTCAACTCAATAACATTAATGAATACAGTTGCCCACTTCAGAGACACTTTGCTTGTCAATTCTGTGGTATCATTGCAACTTGCTCCAGATGACGATGAATCCCTATGAGGTCCTGGAATAATGACTTTTCATATTTTTTTTAAATTAGGAACTTAAAATATATTATATTTTTTATGTTACAGCCATGCAGAGGCAATTAGGTTATATGCATAAAGATGGTTACTTCTTCATGTTCCGAGATGATCCTAAACCCAATATATGGCAAGTATAAAAAAATGTTAAAATTTTCATCAGTAGCAGTTCAGTAAAAAAAAAAAAAACAATGTTCCTTTCCATCTGCATATATATCTTGATGTTTTATACATTTCAAACGTGCTAGATGCCACAAAAACATAACAGTGAAATTGAAATATTTCAATAGGGCCGTGGTGACAAATCGGTGGGAGGGTGTCAATAATCCGGGTTTCCTGGCAAGCTATGTATTTGGGTATAATATAACCAAATTGCATATAATTAATGTTTGTTTTTATAGGTTGACAGCATTTGCAACTAAAACTTTCCATTCAGCAAGATTTGGAGAATGGGAGAGAGATTTATTTATTCCGATAGAGTTGATTAATAGAATGGTGTTATGGTTATGTTCCCAACAAAACACAACAACAGGAGCTTTTGATCCCAGTGATATAGCTTTTGACAGAAAAATGGTAAATATTGGATTATTTAGCAGAGACTTACAGAATATATTTATTTTTTTCTCTGTGCTCTGTGAGAATCCATATTGATTTCAGTTATCTATAGCTTCCAAACCTGAACATTGAAATTTAACTAGATATTTTACATCTTCTACAAATCTCATCTTTAACAACATATTTAAAAAAGACAAAATGTTCAGCATCACATAGATATATTAATCTTGGTAGTCCAGGGTATAGTTAAAAGTTACACAAAATAAAAAAAAACATTGGTTATACTCGTATAATTAATGTTGAAGGAGCTAATATCCTAATGGCCCTGCTTGAGTTGTCAATATCGGCGCATACCGGCTGACCACAGTTCGGCAAAAGTTTGGCTGCGGCGTACGCCCAATGCCCTGCTTTGGCAGCAGCGGCCAACACTGGCGCAAGATGGTGAACATATCAATGAGATAAAATTCACGTTATTTGGGAATGCCATAAAACGCTAATTTTAAAGCGTTTAAATTAAACCAAATGTTTTGAAGTTGAATTTAAGCTTCGTAAATCCAAAAGTTCATATATCATTTATTTTTTCTCGGTAATATTACTAATAATAATTTTCTGCTTATTTTGCGGGCACTTTCAAGAATACTGTTTTTGATTAAAACATGTCATGTAACCGGTTTAATATTATAACATTATCCGACGCCATATTGTTTATCAGCCAGGTCACTTGATTTGCTTCGATATGGTAACCTGACCGGCGTACGCTGTAGTAGAAACCTATCGGCGGATAAATCAAGCAAGCCCAATGTTAAATAGAGCTTTTGTAAAAATTAAAAAATTTCTGGTCCTTTTTCCATCAGGTAGTCTTCTATGACAATTGTTATTGAATTGATTTAATTTCAGTCATCTTATGAAGCAATCAAAGATGAACAGATGTATACCCACCCTATACCTCTTACAGCCTATGTTTTAATAGCTCTTTATGAAACCACAGATGTCTCTGGTGTAAGTATTTTACATCTACAAATATGGTATCGAACTTGCATGGTTGACAGATCTGTGATCTGCTGAACAACTGCTTCAATTTTATGATCAGCCTACTCCCAGGGAGACACGGTCACTCAGTGAGTAATGGGCTGGCTCACTGACTAACTAGGATGTCAATGCCAGTGTTGACCAAGAAAGTTGCCCTTTGATTCCCCAGCATGGTTTCTCCTTTGTCAGTGGTGCAGTATAGAGAGCCTGCCAAGGTACAGTATCTAGTCGTTCCTAGTTCCATGTAGATGTTGACGTGCATGTGAAAGAAGCCTTGACAGTTGAAATTTGAATTTAGAGTTTGGGAAAAATCTTAATTCATAGCACACATGCATGGAGTGTACCCCCCTTCTTCATTAACCTGTTTGGAGTAGGACTTTAAACCCCATTTCATTTCACTTCTGAAGAATAGAATTGTATTCTGAACATCAAATTCATATTTGTGCAGTTATTTTGCATTTCTCATGTTTTAATTAAAGGATGCCCTTGCTTGTCTGGACTCAGTCCGATCAAATGCTGCAAATTATTTATCTGCTAAAGTGGTTGAGATCCCGTCTACAGAAATATTCCATCTAGCTATCACAGCTTATGCTCTGTCTCGGAGTCAAGAAAAGAGTAAAACTGCTTTTAATAGATTAATGAGCAACAAAAAAAAAAGTAAGTATAGAAAGCAATAATAATGGGTCGTCCAGACGCTTTTTTTGTAAACTAGTTAATTACGCAACAATACATGTTGTCACTTTGCTGTTCAATCGGCCAAGATAAACCAGCTTTTCAGAAAATCTTTCTCAAAGACAGGTAGAGAGCTGTGTGTTTTTAAACTGATTTATAAATTGGTTTAACTATTACCAGGTTTTTTTAAATCAGTTTAACTTGAGCATCTGAACAGATTTTAAGTGTTGGGGGCAGACTATATAATAGGGTAAAGATTATGGATAACCTAGAACAAATTGCGACAGAATCTGGTAGCTCTACTGTATATTTCACACAAAAAAAAGTGATTGTAGAAAGAGGGGAAATTTACTTATATTTAAGTATCAATTTTACTGGTATTAAAAATAAAAATATGTATACAAATTTTTTTCGTGTTTTTTTTTTTCAAGTTCCGATAATACTTTTCAATATTTCCAAATTGAAAATATGACAGCTGTAACACACAATTCTAATTAGAATCCATTTGGTGATGTGAATTTTTAAGACCTTTAACTTCCAAATCATTTTGGTAATCATCTATTTTATTTTAGGTGAAGAAATTTATTTTGCTGATCAAGAGGTACCAGTTAACCCAAGTCAAATTATTAATACTGTTAGATTTTTATTAAATCGTCAAGAATTGATGAATGATGGATACGCTGTCCAATCCACAGCATATGCTTTAATGGCTCATATAGACAATAATGAAAACAAATTGGATCGTGATTCTATGATGAGATGGTTACAAACAATGAGAAATAGTATTGGTGGATTTGCTTCTACACAAGATACATTGGTTGCTATGGAAGCTTTGTTCAAGTTTACACAGGTTGATCCTAATCGTAATGTATTTGAATTGATGGTCCAATTAGAATCTACAGCTACAGCTAACTGGAAAGTCAATAAATTTATCAGTAAAAGAAATTACACCAGGTTACAGAGTGCTTATGTAAGTGACATTTAATTCTTTATATTTTGAGGCTTTTCAGAGACATATTCAAGATTTTTGAAAAAAACAAAACTTCTAGTACAGTAGAATCTGTATGAGCAGCCACTCCTATTCAGCGACATCTCCTTGTAAGCGGTCACAATAAATTCCCCCCGTAGAAATTCTGTTGTTTTATCTCTTTATTCAACGGTCACTCCTCTAACGCGGCCAGCGGTCACTATTTTACTAATAAATTCAACAAAACATCGCCCATTCAACGGCCATTGTTGAATGATACCATCTTGTCGTTCTTTGTAACACCCCCGCTAATCCCGTGAGTAGTAGTTAATTAACTGGACCCCCACTGATCAGGTAAAAAGAAATGTAAACATAACAATCAATTCGGGATTATCTATTAATTAATCTTTTGTTTTATTAAACGACTAACCTGATCATTGTTTTCACGCGTAACGACACATTATTTGATACTGATTGAATAAAATAAAAGTACCGAGTTTTGTCACGATCATCTAGTATCTCTCTTAGCGCCTCCTATAATATTACATACAGAGTTACACCCCCTGTAAATAGGTGATGTTTTTTGTTCATGTGCTTTTTTGATAAAATAAAATGAATTCATCGATTTTCTTCACAAAAATGGATAAATATTATCGAATGCATCACAATGGCAGACAGTAGTATCGAAGGTTGGTACAAAATGACAAGTTTACAGAAGTTATGTCCGAGATTTGAGTAAAGAATTTTCGTCCGGCGCAAGATTCAGCGACGGCCAAATTTACCGCTTCCAATGCATCCAAGCGTAATATTTAATTTATGTCGGCACAAAAAGCAACGAGATTTTATTAAGAGGCCACTCCCGTTAAGTTATGTCCGAGATTTGAGTAAAGAATTTTCGTTCGGCGCAAGATTCAGCGACGGCCAAATTTACCGCTTCCAATGCATCCAAGCGTAATATTTAATTTATGTCGGCACAAAAAGCAACGAGATTTTATTAAGAGGCCACTCCCGTTAAACGGTCAGTTGTGAAAATTCCCTTGGGTGGCTGCTTAATGCAGATTCTACTGTATTTTACTTTTTATTTGAATACAGTAACAGGTTATATCTTTATTATAGATACCAGAGGTATGGGGAGCAATGAGGATATTAACACAAGGTACAGGACGAGCTCTTATGCAGGTAATAAAAATCATTATTTATCTTTTATTGTAGGTCCAAATGCTCAACTTTTGACATTTAATATAGTCTATTTTAAAATATTCATTAAATAAAACTATTCCTATAAATACCTAGAGATCATACTGAACTTTTCAAAAATACAAATTAAGAAAATTTTGGTTTGGGTTTAAAAAATCTTTTATCTCGTAAAACCCTCAAATATGGGAGAAAATCCCTTAAAGCTGAATAACTCAAAAAAATATACCTGGAATTTCTTCCCGCTATTCACTATATTTTTTACTTCCTATTATCAGCTTACTACTACTGTGAATGTTGAATATCCATGGTTATTGAAACCTACACAAGATGAAATACAATTCTTTGATTTGATGGTTGACGAGCTTAAATATCATGGGAGGAATTTTTCCATTATGGAAATGTCTATATGTGCCAGGTCAGTTTTGAATCTTTATAATATATATGCCTAGAGCTGTACTACTTTGTTCCACAATAAAGGATGGAAGATAAAGTTATGCCAACACATATGCTGTATTCAACACTGATTTAATATTTTAACATTTTTGCTCATGTGGGAGCTGGTCAGAAACAAAAATAAATACACAAAGTTACTGTAAGATTTCTTTTAGAATTGTAAGTGTGTTTTCCTGACAGATAATTTCTAAAAAAAACAAGTTGTTTATGATTTGGAAATAACTAGAATACTAGAGTTCCAGGTCATTTAATTGCTATCAGGATATCAATATTAGCCCATTACTGCTTGCACCTGTTCAGTTATACAATACATGTCATGATCTAGAATTATTGGTGCCATGATTAAATATAAGACCTCTTGATAACCAGGAAGCATTAGTAGGTAAATATGGTTACATCATTATAAAATATAAAAATTTGATGGATTATAACTATATGTATTATTATTATTGTGTTTTAGTTGGGTGTATACAGAGAAAAGTTTAACAAGTGGTTTAGCCGTAATAGAAGTTGACATACCAACAGGTTATGTTGTGATGAATGATACACTCCGTGATTACGTTCAATCAGGAATTGTACCTAATTTAAAAAGAGCTGAATTTTACAATAGAAAAGTTGTATATTACTTTGATTATGTAAGTAAAAAAAACTATGGCAAATTTGGTATATGTGATAGACACCGGCTAATCTCACTAGATAAATACTGTATTACCCGAAAAACATCCATGGGGCAAGCACTGGGAAAAATTGACAGGGTATCACTAACTGGAGTTGTCATTTCTTGATCATATGGTTAGGCGGTTTTGGGAACATTGGGGGGTGTCAACATTTAAAAAATTCTGCAATTAAGTTGACAGAAAATAGTTAAGAATTAATTTGACCTCAATATGTATGGTAAATGGACAGTAAGTAATGAAAGATACATTCTGAAAAATAGACTCTCCCACAATGAAGTAAGGGGACAGACATGGCATCTTACAACAGTTTATTTATAGCTGTACATATCTCTTGCTGAATACAAAGTTGTGGTTTCGAATCCCCGGTTGTACGTGACAATGAGTAGGGTCGCCTGTCCAACCTCGTGGGTTTTCTCCGGGTCCTCCGGTTTCCTCCCACTGCTAAAGACCCCTATGCGCAAGCGAATTATTGAAATAAAATTAAAACCATGTGTTCGTCCCGAAATGACCTAGTTTGTGTCGAGTGGACGTTAAACCCCATTTCTCTCTCTCTCTCGAATACAAAGTTTTGCGAGGGATTTGAAGCAAATTTTTGATAGATTAATTAGTTTGAATAGTATGATGTTTTTAGTCCAAATATATCATCAAATCACACAGTTTGTATGCGGGAAAGTATCATTAAAGATGCATTATGTAAGATCTAGATAAGGAACTGACAGTTCTCAAAAATGTGTCTGGTCAATTTCCCATTGTTAATGGGTTTTTTTTTGTTTGACTTAATAATTTGTATAACATTTGAGGCCAAAAGAAAGACCTACAATGGACAGATTTAGCTCTAAATGCATCTTTCAGACTTATTATTATTTAGATTTTCTTCAACTTCCGTTATTGCTTTCAAATTATAATATGTTGTACTTTTAAGCTGTAAGGTTTGAGGAGGGCATGCATCTACTGATATTTTTTATTGAATTGCTCCTTATATTCAGATGCCCGAAATAATAACCTACCGACTATCCATCAAAACACTACAGTCTTACTGCACGGAATTGGCGACATAGAAACCTCACTCAATATTTTTAAAATTGTCCACTCGTTTTTTCGAAATCACCAGACGCTTCAAGGGACAACTATAACGCACCTATTGTAACTACATTTTCACTTGTACATTATTCGCCTATTTCTAAAATGCAAATCCATTCCATAGACAGCTGTAACACAACCACAGTAATCATATTTTCATGTGTACATTGATTATTTATTTCTAAAATAGAAATACATGTATCTATATCTGACAGGGAGAGGGGTTTAATATAGGCTATGCCTGTTCCCCAATCCCTATTCAGATACAAATCTGAATAAAAATATTGCTTAAAAAAAAAAAAAATCTACTGATATTTATGGATGTGAAGTTAATAGAAAGGATTTTATTGAAAAATAAATCTGCACCATAAGATATTGCCGAAATGACCTAGTTTGTGTCAAATGTGGACATAAACCCAATTTGTCTCTCTTTATTTAGGTAATTTTGATCTATTTATCATTTTAGCTTGATGTGAGCAAGACTTGTGTGTTTTTACGAGGCAGTCGTTGGTATCCTGTAGCGAATGCAACAATTCAACACAGAATGCGAGTTTATGATTATTATGAACCAGGTAATTCAAATAATTTGATCAAGTACAAATATTTGTAAGAAATTAAAAAACAAAAAATCTTTGTTTTATTAAATACAAATAATTATAAAATTATATTTAATAAAAACAAACCCATATTTTATATTGATACTAAATTACTTTTGATACAAGACAAAGTCAATGTATAAAAATATTACTAAAATTATTTTGAGATATCAATGTGTTTTATTTTTTTTTTTCAGGGATGCACAATACATCTATGTATACGACATATGGATTATTTAATTTAAATGTCTGCTTTGTTTGTGGTTCCTACCAGTGTCCTTACTGTCCCTCCTTTAATGTTGCCTCGGCCATAAAGGCATCAATATCATTGCTATGTCTGATATTGGGATATTTTAGTCGACAGTATATATTGCGATCCTGATTTTTGTAAAATAACAGTTTAAATTTTAAAACATTGTAATCATTTTCTTTTAGTAAGAAAGGCTCATTTTAGTAATTTTCATTGTTATCCAGAAATGTTAATATTTTCTTGCACATTCCTGTACAAAAATTTCTATATATCCTACTTTTTGAATATTTTTTAAAAACAATTTTTAACAGGCAAAGTTCATTTTCCAATGCTACTTTTAATATATTTGTACATGTAAATCTGTCCAAATCAAAGATATTCTGTCATTCAATATAACAAAAATGTGCCTACAGATTATTATTTCATGGGACATTTTTGAATATGATTATACACATAAAAAAAAAACATTTTGAAATGGTAGCTATTTATTTTGAATATTCTTATTGTAAATTAGTTATTTGAAATGTTAAATTTGTACAGAAAATATTATTTTGAAATTTGAAAAGGGTTTTTTTTGCCAATCTTTGATCTGATAGATTACAGACATTTTTAGCAAAAACTTGCCATTTACATACTGAATAGATTGCAGTAAATAAAAGCTATGATTCAGTGCTAAATTCCTTTGATTCAGTGCTAAATTCCTTTTTCCTTCCCTTTTGTATAAAAAGAGAAATGAATCTATATTTTTGCTCATTGTATATTGCATCTGGTCTGTTTTTATGTGTTAATAGATTTAACATAATGTTTACATAGATTTGTTAATAGATTTAACATAATGTTTACATATACAGGGAAATAAGCATACCTAGAATAATGACATGAAAACAACAAAATTGAAGTCTTAACAATTTTATTGTTGTCCCCTTTTAAATTGCTCATCTTATATGATATGCTGTTGTATATATTGCATTTTTCATCCTGTAAATTTAGAGACAGCCATGCTTATGGTTACTTTTTTTGTAATTATTTTTTCATAAATATAATTTAGGATACTAATTAATTTGTATATAGATTTTGTAATCATATTTTTAAACATTGTAATTCTTTATTAGTTACTTGAAAAATCAATCATATTATATGTTTAAAACATTCCTTTATAATACTTATATTTTTACATAATAAATCGTTTTTAGATAAAATTTTTTATTATTTCTGGTGAGCTAGATCACTTTAGAATTAATGTGTTGTATTATGAACTGTCCTTCATGTCATGCATCAACTTTTATTGGTGAAGTTGCTTTAAGATCCAGAGGAATCTTCCTAGTTTCATAGTAAAAACAAGCCAACAGTGAGGCTGATGTCCCCCGCTGAAATCCCTAAATAAATAGATGACGCATATTAATTAATCGCACATTTATTTTTTTTCAAAAGTATCAAGCAATCAAACTATACACTAAGTTTTATCACTCTCTATCAGATAGAATCAAGATTATCTTGTCCAAAAGCATGGACCAATGAAATTGATAAGTTCTGCTTAGCTACAGCTCGAAATGTTTAATCATTTAACTCAGCCAAGACATTCACCTAAAGAATCTACATTAAGTCTAAGCATTCTACATCAATTAAAAGCAGAGTTATGTTCCAAAATCTTGAACTATCAAATTTCTTATCGCTCATTAGCCTAAGCAGAAAATTCTCACCATCGAAATTAGTGATGGTAATGATATAATGAATCTATATTCGGAGTTCCATCGCTCTCACTTCATTATAACCGAAGTTATCGTGCCTCAAAGCATCAACCAATCAGATTGCTTATTTCTGCTTACCGTAAGCAGACAATGTTCATCATAGAACTCCATGTTATCAAGGCATTCACCTAATGAACGTCTACACCAAGTTTAAACATTCTATTCTAACTATCTGCTGAGAATATTATAATAATATCGCTAAGTATGAAATTCCTGCTGTAATGAAAACGTGGGAGAGGAACAGAAGCTTTTGCAGCAACAGCTTCTAGCTGTCAAGGAAATGGCAATCTTTTTATACGCCCACATTTTCATGTGGACGTATATTGTCGTCGCCCCTGTCCGGACGTCCGTCCGTCCACAATTGTTTGTGAACAGTCTATACAGGTCACAATTTTTATCCGATTTCAATGAAACTTGAAATATAGGTTTATCACCCTAAGATCTTGGTCCCTTTAGATATTGGCATGTATCGGACTGTAACTTCATGGATTATGGCCCCTGATTGTACGAAAAATCACATTTTTAGCTTGTGAACACTGTAGAGGTCACAATTTTTATCCGATTTTGTTGAAACTTGAAATGTAAGTTTATAACCCAAAGATCCCGGTTCCTTTCGATATTCACGCATATCGGACCGTAACTTCCTGATCAATTATGGCCCCTTATTGTACGAAAAATCGCGTTTTTAGCTTGTGGACCCTATAGAGGTCATAATTTTTATCCGATTTAAAAAAACGTATTATTATATCAGCGTTACACCATAAGGACGGCTGAGTTCGAATTTCGTGAAAATCGGCTCAAAACTGACAGACAAAATGGCCGCCCTTCGTTCTCAAATAGCGTAAAAATATTGTATATCAAGGTTGTGGATCCTATGGAGGTCACAATTTTTATCCGATTTTGTTGAAACTTGAAATGTAAGTTTATAACACAAAGATCTCGGTTCCTTTCGATATTGATATTTGCGCATATCGAATTGTAATTTCCTGAATTATGGCCCTTGATTGAAGGAAAAATCACTTTCTTTTTAGCTTGTTCTCTATCCTTCTCTCGAAAATGTGGGCGTATCCTGCCTGGCAGCCGCTGGTTCCTAGACAAAAGGCGAAACAATCATTTGATTATATCGAAGTAAGATAAGATAAGATAAGATTTTATTGTATCATATTCATAACACCCATTTCAGGCCGCATAAAATTCATATACATGACATATGCTCGAGATACAGTCTTATCAGTACCTAAACGTATATTGCCGTCGCACCTGTCTGTGTGTGTGTCTGTGTGTCGCCTTAAGGCCGCAATTCTTAAGTGATCGCCTTGAAACTTTACATACTTATTCCTTATACCCAAAAGATGATCCCTATTGTTTATGGGCCATGTCCCGGCCATGTCCGACCCCCAGTGTCTGAGCTACGCTTATTTCTTTAATTAATTGGTTTGTCGCGTCTACAGGCCGCATTTCTTAACGTATCATCTTGAAACTTTGCATACTTATTCTTTATACCCGAAGGTACACCCCTATTGTTTGTACTGCATGCCCAACCCCCAGGGGAAGAGCCACACCCATTTTCTTTTTGTATGTCTGTCGCTTACCAGTCTAATTAAAACACATGTCCTATTTATTTTCGTTTTTTATAGTTCAAAATTTCATTTTACTTGTCTTTACTACACTAGTCGAGTTGGTTGTCTCGGTCACCCGAATCCTCCTGGTCTTCAACGTGTAGATATTTTTCTGGATGATAGCTAGGATTTGGAAGAGTTGTTATATTACCGGTGTTTTGGATGAAGGGAGGGATAAGCCAATTAAACAGTTTGTTACGGCGACTTCTTGGCGTGCCATGCATGGAACTGTATGTAAACTACTAGAAACGCCAACGCTGATTGATTAATCAATGTCTGATGTCATAGGGTCAAAAGCCGCTTGTACGAACCCTGACACGACCTTCGAGTACAACTTGTCAGATTTCATGTAGTGTAGGCCATCGAAAGTATAAAAAAACCGAAACGAAATATAGATATTTTAATCAGATTGGTCGCTTACAGGCCACAATCCTTAATCGACCGTCTTGAAAACTTTTCATAATTATTCTTTATACCCTAAGGATGACCTTTATTATTTTTGGTGCATGTGCGACCCTCTGGGACAGAGTCACGCCCAGTTTTTGCGTGTGTCTTGTGTTTCGCCCACAGGCCGCAATTCTTAACAGATCCTTTTAAAACTTAGCATGCCTATTCCTTATACCCCAAGGATGACACCTATTGTTTTTTGGTGATTGCCTGACCCCCAGGGAAAGAGCCACGCCCATTTTTTTCTCTGTGTCTCTGTGTGTTCCCACAGGCCACGATTCTTAATGGATCGTCTTGGAACTTGGGATATGTATTCCTTATAGCCTAAGGACGATAACTGCATGTCCCGACCACAGGGGCAGAGCCACGCCCAATTCTTGTGTTTATCTTGTGCTTGACAACTATTGATTTTAGTGCATGCCCTGACCCCCAGGGGCAGAGTCACGCCCAATTTTTGCCTTCAGCGCCAGAAGGCCACAATTCCGAATGGATTATCTGGGAACTTGGTATACTTACTCCTTATACCCAAAGGGCGGCAACTATTGATGTTGGTGCACGACCCCCTCCCCACCCTTTCGGCGGTGCCGCACTCACTTTTTGTTGATATTCTCTCTGTAAATGATATATAGGTTACAATTAACAGATTTGGATACAATTCGGAATTGTACAGCATAGGGTTGTATATATATATTGGTCCATGTCCACCCCCCCCCCCCCCGGCAGAGCCACGCCCATTTTTTGTGTTTTTTGTCTTCAGGCTGGAATTGTAAATGGATCATTTTGGAACTTGGCATATTTATTCCTTATACTATAAGGATAGCAACTATTTATTTTGGTGCATGTGCTGACCCCCAGGGGTGCTACCACACCCACTTTTTTTGTTAGATCTTATCTGTAAATACTCTACAGGTTGCAGTAATGAACAGATTTGGTTCGAATTCAGCATATCATTTCAATAACAGGATGGTATCTATTTATATTGTTGCATATCCAGCCCCCAGGGGCAGAGCCACGCCCAAATTTTGTACTTATCGTCTACAGGCTGCAATTCTGAATGGCCAACTTTGCATATTTATTCCTTATACCGTAAAGACAGCAACTTTGGTGTATGCCCGACCCCCTGTGGCGGTGTCATGCCCACTTTTTTGTTAATATTTTGTCTGTAAATTTGGCAAAACAAACTCAACGCCTAGCCTTCTTTGCCTTTTGTATAATGTTCTTAATGGACGAAATATGCAAATAAAAAGTTGAAGCTGAAGTTGAAAAGTTGTCATATACAGCCATTTCATCATTCATTCTCTTCATTTTAAAAACTACATTATCAATCAAAGCAGGAATGGGGAAGTATATTGCAGCGTTAGCGATGGTCTCCTTCTAATCGTGATAGTGGGGACCTAGCAAGTAAGTAAATTTATTGCATAAAAACGCCCATGAGGAGCAGCATACAATTACAAAAATGACATTTATACAACACAACAAATATATAACATGTAACAAATAAAAGAACAAGTGGGTTGTATTAACATCTATTTCCATCTTTACACCTCACTGGTTTGCAGTGCACAGATAAGAATAGTCAGACCTGTTATGCTCCATTAACGCCGTCACGATGTGCAAAAATAAAATAGATCATATCTGAGAAATTGGTAAATGTATGCCCATTTATACAAGTATAAAGAAGACGTTGTGTATGAAATGGTTTACGTAAAGACAGGTATGTAAAACTGAACATCAACAATAAATATATGGTTGGTGTAATTGATTATGAAATTTTATACATTTGGATCATGACGTGACTTTTAAATTTTTTAATAGCGAAACCAGAAGCCGGCCTTTATCTCTGAGATATTATTAATGTTATCATATTCTGTAAGTTCCGTGGATATCGGTTGATAACTGCGTTCTGCAGTCTTGCCACATGAAGTGTCTGGGAACCTGATATTTAGGGAACCTCTGAGATATTAATAATGTTATCGTAATCAGTAAATTTCATTGAAATCGACTGAATTGCGGTACGTAAAATTACCCACATGTGGCATATACTCCCCGAATTTTCTTACCAAATGTGACAAAAAAAACCCAGTCTTCCTGGGGCCAGTTTCACGATATTTTAACTAAGATAAAATCCAAATTTTAGTCACTTGATTGGATAATATTAGATTGATTGTAATGCTTAGCCAATCAAAGATTTCGAAAAACAGGGCCCTGCTCAATTATGACATTTTACTAATTTCAGAATAGAGTTCCCAAAATGTTATCACGGCTTGTTTTAGCCGTTTTGCCTATCTTTGTAACTTCAACTGCTGCTGCTCTTATAGAAGACTGCATGCTAGAAAATACAATCGGTTGTCCTA